TGTGTATGGAGAGGAAGGGGGGTGAGTATGGGAGAGGGGAGAGGAAAAGCGTGATGGTCTTGCCAGGCAGGAGGGTGTCAGCAATGCTGCCTGAGTAGTGGGGGGAGCAGTAGAGTGATCAAACCTATTGAAAAATACATTGAGTTCATTCACCCACTTCCAATCCCCACAATCCTGGGAGTCGGGCTTCTTGTGGCCAGAAATAGCTTTAAGGCTGTTCCAGACTCCGCTGACATTATTCTCCTGCAGCTGGACCTCCATTTTCTTTCTGTAGCTCTCCTTGCCATCTCGGATCTTTCTCCTCAGCTCTCTCTGCACAGCTTTCATCTCCTCTTTGTTTCCTGACCTAAATAAATTTATGGTTTGATTTCTTTATATGTAAGGATCACTTGGGTTGTTACCAACATCTGGTGAAAATTTCATGTCATTAGCACCTCTAGTAATATATTTACTGAGAAAAATGGTGACGTGTTCAATACTTATTTTACCCGCTGTATTTTGTTGTCAAAATCCCTGATATTTACCTTTGTATTAGTAGAAGCGATCCATCACTTTAACTTGTTGAGCAGGGAGTGGAAGCAACGTTAGGGGGAGGGGAGTGTGGTTGCAAAACACACATTGCAGTCATGCCAGGTGACCAAAAATGAAGACCCATCCGCACAGCACTTTGCCTCAGTAAAGGATATCAGTCTATGCTGGAAGAGTACTAGAAAGGGCTAATTATAGTTATAGGAATAGCCTTAAGAGTTRGTAGTTATCTGCTTGCCGACCCACTTTTCACATACCACAGCTTAGGTATTCCTGGGGTTCTGTCTTTTATTTTATTTTTTTTCTTTTACAAAGTGGGACATAAAAGTAACGTTGCTGCTTCCGAAAGATGCGGTAAAAACAGTGTCCAATGTTTCTGTATATGAACGCTAAGGGAACTTAGTTTGGTAGTTTGTGTAGTTGTTGTTTTTGTTGTAGGGATCTACTTGGATAAACAAAGACAATTAGTGCCATATGACTGTTAAGACTAGAATGTTCAAACCTGTATTTCTTCTTTACATGGAGTTCAGAAAGTGTCTCCGGGCCTGCACATATGGGCCACCAGTGATTTATCACTCAGGAATGGTTCCATGCAGATAAAATAACCAGACCATTAATGGCCCTGTTTTTACCCAAGGCTACAATAACACATGACTGCATTGATATGGAATTTTAAGTGCATGTTTCTCCTCCCTTTATGCCGAGGCAAAGCAGAGATATAGAGGCTATATGTTTCAAAATTTAATGTGGTTTGCCATGTGGTGTATATTTAGAAAGATGAAAAATTATGACCTAATTATGGTCAAATATCATTTGGAACCCATTATTGTTTTTTTTTTATAGAAAAGCATGTGATCTTTTTTGTGTTTTGAGGTTTGGTTTGCTGCATCATAAATGGCTATTTCCTGTTTTTACCATCTTGTGATTGTCATTTATTCTTGTTTGCATAATAAAAAGACACCGTCCTTGAAAATTTATCAATTAGCAGAAAAAAAATCTCTGTGGGTATAAATGTTTAAAATAAAGTCAAAGGAAGTACAAACATTGTAAAAACATTTGATTAAATTGGACTTTGTTTTTCTTGGAACCAAAAATCAAAATAAATTATTTTGTGTTCTGCTAATTATAGCTTTAAGAAAGAAATCAAAATGGGCCTAAATCTGTTCTGGCTTGTCAGAGTCTTACACAAACCAGAATCAGCCTACAAAACTATGACAGATGCATCTCTAATCAGTCGGTAGTTCTTAGAGCTCAGGCCTCGAGGATAAAAAAAAATGGTCAATGTGCTCTGTATGGGTAAAAAAAGAAATCTTTGATCTTTTTTTTTTAACATCAAAGCTGCTAAAGCTCTTGTATGTTTTGTCTCTGAATGGCTAGCCACTTAGGTTGTAAACTTTGTTCTGCCTGTTGTTGCATGAATCCACATGCAAGTTTACCTCCAGTAAGCCTCTTCCATTGTGCCCCCTGAGATCCCACCCCACTATGGCCCACTCTCTCAACTACTAAAGCTAGATTGCAAAACAGCTTTCTTGCTTTTGTGATTGTAATGAGGCCAGGCTGAGGCCAGAGGTGTCAGTCGCACCATTCCTACATACACACTCAGTCACACACTGTGAATGCTGAAAGCCTCTCCCCCCCCTTCCAAAACGTCTCTCCCACCTTTAAATCACACTCTTTTATTTCCCCCTCTGCCAAAACTCAATGAGCAGAAAAGAATGAACCATTAGTCTGTTGGAGAGCATTGAGTCTGGGTTTGGACTGCCTAAATGTAATGGCAATGACTGAGACGGCGGTTTGAGTGCCTCAGAGTGGTAAAGAATTGATTTTTGTCTGTCCGGCACTCTGCATGAAATTGCAAAGTAACTGTGGAGACCACAGAGATCTTTTAGGGGCCAAAGGTGTCTGTACTTAAATAAGCCAGTCAGAATCCCCATTATTGTTCTTTTTTAGGGGAAAAATGCAGAGCTGGGCGGCCGTCAC